TTTCTTCATTTCTTAAGATCTGACCCTCTACTCTCTCTTGTGCACATCCCCCATTATCTTTATTTGCAATTAGTGATCTGATGATAAATCTCAAACCTCTGTCTCACCAGTTATTAGTGTAGACTTAGCCTGGTTGATCAGCAGACTGCACAGTTCTTCCCACCTGGCCATTTAGCATGCTGCGAAAGCCGGCACTGCCGTTGCATAACAACATACTCATCAGAGTTTTAGAGTGCTGGTGGATTAACTTTCATTGGGAACAGGGCCGACTGCAAAGCACCTTAACGTATCAGTATGTGTGCCTCAAGGTGTCAGACAGCCTGTGACTTGAGTCAACACATTTACTCCATTAATTAACGGTAAAAAGAATTTAAGCCTGATGGTATTTTCCTTTATTTTGCAGACATTTGTGAATGATCTGAGAATCCCAGACCAGACATACATCACCCTGAAGCTCTCAGATGTCATTCGATTTGGCTATGATATCCTTTTCTTATTGCTTATTCAAACTTAAGTCGCATATTTGGCTTAAATCTGGTTGGATCTGTGTGATTCATGTAACACAGACTTGCTGCTCTTTGGTTGGAACAGTTTAGTTTGTGATCAGCAGCCCACACTGAAGTGAGCCAGTGGTTGGCAGCTGTTTCAGTCACTATTTTTTTTGCATTTTCTTTTCCCTATTGTGGTCTTTTGCTCCGTCGGCATGTTAATCCCCTGCGGTTTTCAGTCGGGGGTTTAGATTATGGTCAACTGTGGACAGAAAGTCTTCTGCACTCTTTGACCTCCAAACTAGAAGACACATGAATGCTGAAGTGGAGTTGCAATAACGGTACAAAACTGTTTGGACTACCGAGGCATTTAGCAATGCCTGTGTCAGAACCTAACACACACACACTATATGTTGAAGCATGTGATGTTGCTGAAGATATGAGCTTGTTTGAAGTGCTGCAGGCTTATCTCTTTTCCTCTTTCTTGTCAGGTGTAGAAAAGGGAACTTTTGTCCTTTTTAGTAGACAAAGTGAAAACTGACTGCACAGCTGCCATACCTAAGGTATCGGATTCACATTTGTGTTGTGAGAGTCCCTGTGCTAACAGTCTTCCTGAGTCAGACACATTCAGCTGTGTATATATACAAATAGACAAATGATTGCCTTGTTTTACAAAACTGTAGATGTGTTTTTGCCCTTTAACTCCTCCTGCACATGCTCATGTATATATCCTGGAGCAGAGTCAACACAAAGTCCCAGAGGAAGCTCTTAAAGTAAGTAATACTGACAGTAGGTTCTCTTTTCTAGGCTTGTAAATGGCTTTTAGGAGAAATGTTTTCCATGGTTCCTGTTTGATAATAATGAAGTGCAGATTCTTCTCTTACTGTCATTAGTTGTAATGCACAATTACATATTGATCTGTTGTAATGTAAAAAAGCAACTTTTAGTTGTAAATGAATTACGAAAACAATGCATTTTGTAAATCCACTGAACACAATAAAAGACGTTAAGATTTTATTCTCATTTTCTTAATTTATTAGGACAGTGCACAGTATTCAACAGTTCTGTAACTGCTAGCGAGCTAACTTTAAGATGCTGTTTACTGAGAAGCCTGTGGTGAATATTCTTCATACAGAGTATGTCAGAGGATGGTCACATCTGTAGCCATTTGTTGTCAGAAGGTTTCTCACATCCTGCTTCCCTCCTGTCTCTGTGTGCAGCATGAGAAGTACACTAGCCAGTTGCAGCTCAGTCGAGAAGCCCTGGAGGCCAAGGTGAAAGAAAAGCAGCCACTCCAGAGCTCAGACAAGAGCGAGGACTCTCTTTCCAATGTCAAAGTGCAGGACAAGGCTGAGAGAAAAGCTCACTCTCTGACAGGTAAACAGCTCTGTCCAGACACATACTCTATCACAGAAGGTAATAGGAAGACTGCAGGTTCATTGGGTCACATTCACCAACATTTTCCTAAGTGTTTTCTTAAATTTCTTCATAGATTGTTCCTAAGAAAAGTCTGCATCTGATTCATGAATGTGTTCTTAAACCACAGAATTGTTTACACCTGTGTTATTATATTGATGAACCCCATGTGTTTGTAAGATGAAAGTGTGCAGCAGTTGTTCCTAATTGGCGTAGGTTAATGCAGGGCTGTGTGCATACATCTCACACAGAAACAGAAAAGAGAAGTTGAGAAAGCCAGCCAGAAATACTACAATGGAAATCTAAAGGTGTTGCAGCAACGAACTGCAAAACAAAGAAAAACTTGAGCAGTTATGAAGTGGAGAACAACGAATGAGCTGCCATATGTAGTAGTGTCAGTAATGGATATAAGTAAACCAAAACTGACGTATGGGGTGCTCTTACTCATTCAGTGAACAGTATAAGGAGAAGGGCCTACAACTGATGAATTACAAACAAACAAACGCTTCCACAGACAACGTCACTGGCCAAAATATCTGAGAGCCATTTAAAGAAATGAACAGAAATTGGACATGCAGATATGCAATTAAACATGTTTGGTTCTTAAGCGTTACGTTTCCTAATTCTAAACTACAAATAATCACACTGTAAAAGTTACATTTTTAAAACTTTGATTTATAAACAAGCACTTAATTGCTTGCTGTAATTTTTAGTGTTAATTTTTAAAAGACGCTCATAATGACAAAACTGTTATTGTAACTTAAATCTTATGTAACTGTAGAACTGTGGCCCAGTGTTCTTTAGGAGAGGGACTGTTTTAACTCTAGTAGATTTGAATAGCTTGTTCACACACATGAGGAAGAGGAAGTCTTTGTCTGACCTTGTCTGTAGATCCCTTGATAATGTGGCTGTGGCTTCTTTTATTAAGCACTGCCTTGTTGTGAGATTAGGCTGCCATGTGAGCTGAGAGGCTATGGAGTCAGTAAAGAAGACCTTGATATGCTGGAGCTGGCAGAATGAGTAAGCATGAGTAAGGGCTTTCTGTACAAGCAGTCTTATCTCTGTCACCCACGCCTCACTGCTGATGAGGCAGGGTGCTTCTTCGCATACCGCTGACAGGCCAATGTGTTGTAGAAGAATTAAAGAGATGTTTACAGGGATAGACACTAATATTTTTAAGGACTGGCCCCATGGGCCACCCAGCTCCTAAATTTGGTGGCCAAAGTACATGTTTGGTAGCCCAGTTAAACATGTAAAAACAGTGCAGAATGAAACGGGATGTTTATGGACCGTTAGTGTTGCCTTGACGAAGTACAGGGGACTGAGTCATGGAGTCTCATTCTCAGCAGAGAACGGATAAAACTTGGTGGCTGACCTTGGTGGCTGTCTGTTGGGGGTATATATGGTGGCCACAGGCTATCAGGCCATGGTTAATATTGAACCCTGGTGTAGGTCTTTAGTGCCAAGTCACCATTTCTGTCCATGTAGCTGGTGGTGGATTTGTTGTTGCTTATGTTTCCCGCTGCTCACACACCCTCTGTGCCCTGAGCTGTACTGAGTAAATCCTTTTGTTCAGTTTATGCATCAGTGGAAGAGTCAGGATTGTTGGTTAAAGAGAAGCACTTTGTGAATGAAGCTCATTCACACAGATAAAATCTGCTCCAGCTACTGTTGATTTAGCAGTTCTCATGCTTTCTGCTCTAAAATTGCCCCTGTGAGCTTGGAGGGAAAAGTAAAACTGCAGCTTAAAATAGCACTTTAACCAACACTGGGCTTATATCCTTCAGGGTGCCTTACAAATGTGTCATTGACCTGCAGAATTTTGGACAACACTTGGTAAGCCATGTCTTTAGTAAGATGTCTCATACTACGATGGAGTGTGGTTATTTCTCCTGCACTAACAGCAGTAATCCAGTAAACCTGTTGGTTGCAAACTCTTTATTGAACATGTTCTCTGAAGCCATGTTTACTAGGGGGCTCACAGTTTCTGACTGCAGTATAACACTAGCCTTGCACAGAGGTGTTGTGACCCAGTCTGCCAATGACATAACTGCTCTATGCTGGAAAAAACGTAGAAAAAAAATCAGCTAGAAAAGCAAAGTCCACTTGTCCCATTCCTTCCTGGACCCAAGTGCATCCATGTGAATAATGGTGTGTGTCTGTGTTTGCGCATCTGTCTTGTAGCTGCCACTGATACCCCAATATCCAAGCCTACTCCTCTGTATGGCCAACCGTCCTGGTGGGGGGACAATGAGGACCCAGCACACAAAAAGCAAAGCAGGAGTAGAACATCTCCAGAACAGGAGTCTCTAGGTCAGAGAATGTTTCTTACATTTTTACTGCCATGGGTACAAACCTCTGTCTTAATAACAATATTTATTCTGAAGTGTTTATTTATTTAAATCTAAACATTCACTGCTAAGTTTGTTGCACAATAACTGTATGAGATATTCCGACATCTGTGAATTAGTTCTCAATTTGTAATGACATGTTTTTCTGTGGCACTGCTACGTGATGTCCTCTGTGGGTCACTGAGAGATGGATGATGAGCCCAAGGCAGGTTTCTGGCTGCAAGTTGTGGACTGTTAGCCAGGCCATACCATGCCAATGGGCAGTGCCTGTCTGCCTTGTGATGGAGTATGACCCTATAAGCTGCAGGAGGAGGGGAGGAAGGGTGATTGTTTGCCTCATGTTGCTCAGGCTGAAACAGATTATTGCTGCTCTGCTACTCTCCACTGGACTCTGAGCTGGTATTTGACCACATCCAACTGGCACCAAAGACCAACTGTGGAGTGATAGTGACAGCCCAATCGAACTCTTAAAAAATGTATTTGTGGTGATGTGAGAATCCCTTTAATTTTATGTGTACAACGTAGCTATAAATGTGGGCTCAGAGAGGGACTCAAAAACTAGTAGCATTGCCCTATTTTACATGTGCTTTTATTACTATTAATAAAATGGCATTTTCTGTCATCGTTCATTGCACAGAGTGGAATGCTTGCTGTGTATTTCTGATTACTGTCCTCTCATTTTTGTTTTATTGCCAACAGAACCTGACAAAGATGTGGCCAAATATGAGGTCAACGGTTCTCTGTCCAACAGTCAGGCCAAGTCCATCTTCTCCTACCGGCGGGAGCCCAGCTACTTCGAGATCCCAACAAAGGAGCTCCAGCAGCGGCCTGCCAAAAAACCTGAGTCGCAAGTTCATGAGGCTCCCACAAAGGACACCCCAGTTCCTGCTCACTGTGCCCCCTCTACTCCCACACCTCCTGTGGTCCAAAGCCATGCCTCATTCACCATCGAGTTTGATGAATGCACGCCAGGGAAAATGAAAATTAAGGATCATGTGACCAAGTTTTCTTTCCGCCAGCAGCGCAAATTACCCTCCACAGAAGTTGGTATGACACCCACTGAGGTGATGTCAGCAGAAAGCAAAGTTGCTGATTGGCTGGTTCAAAGCAATGCTAGCATGATGATGAGGAAGTCGCAGGCTGAAGACATCTACAGGACAAACAGTGACCCATTACTTCTGAAGATCACCAATGGTGAGTCTCTCATACAGTGTCTGCGTATGTTTACAAACAGGAGTTTTAATTGGAATAATGTACCAACTGCCAAACTGACTCATTGTCTTTTCATTGCCAGCAAGGCACAGTGATGATGGTGCTGACAGGGATTCAGGAGCACCTGTGATCAGTGAAAATGATTATTTCCATTCGGAACACCAGATTGGGCCCTGGGTGTCTCCACAACCACTGAGAGCCTCTCCTGACTCCTCCGAGTCCTTGTCCATCTCTCCTCCAGATTCTCAGTCCCTTGCCAGTCTTGGCAAGTCTGAACCTCACCAAGCCTATGTCATTGAATTCTTTGATGATAACCTAAAAAAGAAGCGTTCCCAGTCCTTCATCAATAACACTACCCTGCCTGAGACCTTAACCCTCAGGCTCCAGCAGGAGAAGGCGAAGACAAGCCCATCTGGGGAGAGACGAGCCCCGTATCCATCCTTCACCACTTCCTCCACTCAGCGATTCACTGTCCCCCTGAAAGGCTCTGCTTCCACTGGCTTCCAAAGAGCTGGCTCCCTGCGAAGGGAGAAGACCGAGGACCGGATCAGCACAAGCTTTTCATCCCATTCTATATCTCTCTCTGTAAAGCCCTTTAGCACTGTGGGCAGAAGATCCAAACTAGCTCAAGAGTTCACAGCTGAAATTCTCAGACAAACAAAGCAGGGCCCTTCTGCCACCTGTGAGAAAGACAGAGCTAGTCCGCCTACAGTAGCTGAGGCAGTGGTTGTATCACAGTCAAGTCCGCCTCCATCCGACACTCCCGGTCAGCCACAGACTTCCTCTCCTCTCCACAAGCCTGTTCCCCTTAAGGCCCCTGTGATGCCCCTGGAGTTTCAGAGTGTGGAAGTCAAGAGCCCCCATGTTGGCCCCAAAAATGAAGAGGACGACAGTCTGAGTGATGCAGGAACCTACACCATCGAAGCAGATGTCCAAGATAAAGACCTGGAAGAGGCACGGAGCAAGATTGACCAGGCAAGTTGTTCTGTCACATTTTTGTTCATTGGATGGCTTAAATCACCACATGTTGCTTAAAGATGAAGCTCACCAGTGTTTCTTAAAGAAAGTTCCACTCAAAATGAGCCATGGACACTGGCAGTCTACATTTCTTACAATGCTTTGTTCCTGACAGGTGTTTGGTGTTGTTGAGAGCCCAGAGCGAATGAACCAGAGTGAAGCAGAAACCTCATCAGCATTTAGGCCTAATGTTCAGGACAGGGAGCAGCATAGGCAGAGTAGCTGTGGAGAGGTGAGGCCAGCTCCAGAGCAGGGACAGAGTCTGGTGAAGGTAAATCTTCCTGCTG